CTGAACATGGCACGCACGACGCTTGATTTCCTGACGGCTCGGTGCCGTCCGCGCACACGGCACACTCGTTCATTCCAGCCGAGCGATAGCTACCAGCAGCACACGTGTCACAGCCACTGCGCTCCGAGTTGGGCTCCGACCCCACGGGGCAAGCCGCACATTGGTTCATGCTCGACGCATCGCGATATTCGGATCCTGAACATGGCACACACGACGCTTGATTTCCTGACGGCTCCGTGCCATCCGCACATACGACACATGCGCTCATTCCAGCCGAGCGATAGCTACCAGCGACACACGTGTCACAGCCACTGCGCTCCGAGTTGGGCTCTGACCCCAAGGGGCAGGCTGCACACTCGCTCATGCTTGACGCGTCTCGATAGTCGGCTCCTGTACACGGCACACACGACGCTTGATTTCCTGACGGCTCCGTGCCATCCGCACATACGACACATGCGCTCATTCCAGCCGAGCGATAGCTACCAGCGACACACGTGTCACAGCCACTGCGCTCCGAGTTGGGGTCTGACCCCAAGGGGCAGGCTGCACACTGGTCCATGCTCGATGCATCACGATACCCGGCTCCTGAACACGGCACGCACGACGCTTGGTCGCCTGACGGCTCGGTGCCGTCCGCGCACACGGCACACTCGTTCATTCCAGCCGAGCGATAGCTACCAGCAGCACACGTGTCACAGTCACTGCGCTCCGAGTTGGGTTCTGACCCCACGGACAGGCTGCACACTGGTTCATGCTCGACGCATCGCGATATTCGGATCCTGAACATGGCACACACGACGCTTGATTTCCTGACGGCTCCGTGCCGTCCGCGCACACGGCACACTCGTTCATTCCAGCCGAGCGATAGCTACCAGCCGCACACGTGTCACAGTCACTGCGCTCCGAGTTGGGCTCTGACCCCAAGGGGCAGGCCGCACACTGGTCCATGCTCGACGCATCACGATATTCGGATCCTGAACATGGCACACACGACGCTTGATTTCCTGACGGCTCCGTGCCATCCGCACATACGACACATGCGCTCATTCCAGCCGAGCGATAGCTACCAGCCGCACACGTGTCACAGCCACTGCGCTCCGAGTTGGGGTCTGACCCCAAGGGGCAGGCCGCACACTCGTTCATGCTCGACGCATCGCGATATTCGGCTCCTGTACACGACACGCACGACGCTTGGTCACCTGACGGCTCGGTGCCGTCCGCGCACACGGCACACTCGTTCATTCCAGCCGAGCGATAGCTACCAGCAGCGCAAGTGTCACAGCCACTGCGCTCGGCGTTAAGCTCCGACCCCTCAGGACACTGATCACAATCGGCGCCTGTGTCACAGCCTAGTACGACAAGATCGCCAAACAGAAAGTACTCATCTCGATGCGTTGTACCATAGTCATAATCCACCCTCATAAACTCGGTGTCGGCATGAAGCGGAAAGGTACTCGTCAAATTGAGCACATTCGAGTTCCGGTCCACCCCCAGCTCCAAGCCGTTGATAGGCGTCTGCATAGTAATAATGCCACCAGAAGGTGCTCCAGTGACATACAGGACATCACTAGTTTCCAAATTCTGCTGCTCACCGCCCAGAAATACAAGGGTGACACGAAAATAATCAGGCTGATCATATCCTGATCCGGGTGCGGCGAACTTGATAGAGACTGTGATGGCAGATACGTTGC